CCACCCAGGCGCCCTGTTTCTTTATTTTAAAATGACCTGTATAGTTATCTGAATGTCCAAATGGATGTATTAATTGATCACTTATTCACTAACACTTATTCTTTTTTAAAAACTGGCCCAAGTGTTACAGGTCCCCAAGATCACCTCCAGGTTTGATGACTCACTAGGAGTAGTCACAGGACTCACCATAAAGTTGTACTCATGTCTGCAAAGTTAGGGAGTAGTCCCCAAGAGCACTCTCATTTCTGATACAAATTGCACATTCAGGGGTCCCCAAGATCACCCTCAGGTTTGATAATTCACTAGAAGGACTCGGAACTTAATAAAAACTTCTACTCATGGTTTATGAAAGGATACATATTAAAATCAGCCAAGTGAAGAGACTGATGGGGCAGAGTCCAGGAGGATTCTAGATGCAAAGCTTCCATTTGTCCTACAACAGTAGGTTACCTGACCTTAGGTGTCCACTCTTTATTGGGGCTCTGTCAAAGATATGGTGGGTTGCTTATGTGGCTCACCTCAGTCTCTAGGCCCTGCGGAGGTCACACTGATACCCCACCATAAATCACATTGTTTGACTGTCTGGTATGGTTCAAGTTTCTTACGTAAACAGAAATACTTTTACTAGGCATGACATTTCAAGGAGTCAGATTACCTCCCAGAAGCCAAGGGCAAAGACTAGATCTCTTTGGGAAAGGTTAAACTCTTTACTACACAATAGCTAAGATTCAGCAAAGAGAAAAGTCTCATGGGGCAAAGTCTGGAGGAAACTAGATACAAGAGTCATATAGGATGTGCTTAATTCTAATAGCTGAAAGTTGTGACATATGTATGAGATGTTGGCTGGACAACAATAGAGATTTGTTACCTAAGGGTTTTATTGGAAGCTGGTCACAAAGGTTCCCTCTGCCTATTTTGCCATATGCTAAAATTCCAGAGTCTTAAAAGATAGGTATTTTGCATAAGCTACATTCACACAAATCATTTAGGCACAGGGAGCCACTTTTATTCTAGGAATGGCAGGAATTCTCCCCAAAACCAAGTTGCTAGAGAACGTCGAGAGCCAACTTTGTAAGCAAGACTTTCTAAGGAGAGCATTCTCAGGCTTGCTATGTTAATTCTTTCCTGAGTTTGTTTAAAAGTATAGAAACTTTCGGCATGCCTGGGTGGCTCAGTCATTAAGCATCTGCGTTTGGCTCAGGTCATGATCCCAGGGTCCTGGAATCTAGCCCCACATCGGGCTCCCTGCTCATTATGGAGCCTGTGTCTCCCTCTCCCTCTGCCTCTCCCCCTGCTTGTGCTCTCTTGCATGCTCTCTGTCAAATAAATAAACTCTTTTTAAAAAATAAAAGTGTAGAAACTTTTAGTTTTACTTTTGAGTGGAGGAGCTAAGACTTGCTTCCGTGGACCTGTGCAAACCAGAAACTTTCATTAGAAGGACCTAAATTGGTTGTTTTGATGTATAGGAGTGAATATAGTTTTAGTTTTTAATCTTGGTGATACTTAAGTTGATAGAAAGTGAGGAAATGAAGCACATTTGTGATGCATTTATTAAGGAATCATTTAGAGTTGAGCTATAGCTTGAACCATAAGCTGGAAATGTGTAATAGGTTTTAGTAGATGAAACTCAGGACCCGAGATGAATGTGTATTTCATACACATATATACATATATACCACATACTCTGGTGATAGAGCCCTAGGAACAGAAGAAATGGATTGCCTATGGATATCACAGAATCCAGAATTGATTAGTTGATAGCAGGAGAAACAAGAAAGTCCTATGTTACAGTTCCAAGGCCTACTACAAGAAGAGATGGATTTAGGCAGCAAAAGAGCTGTAGGACCTGGCTCGCCAGACACCACAACTGCCGACACCTTGATCTTGGACTTACCGGACTCCACAACTGTGAGAAACGTTTGTTGTTTAAGCCACTCAGGCGTTTTGTTATAGTCAGCTCAAGCTGACTAAGACAACCTATAACCAACATCATATTTCTGAATGCTTATCTCCTAAGATTAAGAAAAAGACAAGGAAGTCTGCTCCCACTGCTTGTATTAAAAACATTGTCCTGGAGGTTTTAGCCAGTGATAAGGCAAGAAAAAAATAGAAGGCAGATTGGAAAGGAAGCAGTAAAACTATTTGCAGGTGGCATGATCATGTAGAAAGTCCTATGTATTACACAGAAAGTTACTTTAGAGTTGAATGAGTTTAGCAAGGTTGCACATTATAAGATGAATATATAAAAACCAATCACATTTCTATATACTAGCATCGAAAAATTAGGAATTGAAATTAAAACAATAATTTATAATAATTTTATTATTATATATCATATATTATATATATAATGATTTATATATCTTTATGGATATGTAACATATCCATAAATTATAATAATTTTCACTTACAGTAGCACCAAAAATATGAAATACTTAAATAATCTGTACACTAAGAATTACAAAACACAGTTGAGAGAAATATTGATGAAATAGATATGTTACCTTCATGCATTGGAAATCTCAATATTATTAAGACATCACTTCTCACCAAAGGTCATTTATATGTTCAGCACCATCTCAGTCAAAATCCCTGTAGGCTTTTAAATAGAATTCAACATGCTGATTCCACAATTCATAGCAAAATGCAAAAGCTACAGTAATCAAGACAAGTATTGGCATAAAGACAAAAAAAGAGGTTAATGAGACAGACTAGAGTCCAGAAATAAACCGGTACATACATGGTCAGTTGATTTGGGGAAAAAAAGCAAAGGCAATTCAGTAGAGAATGAAAAGTGTTTTTTCAATTGGTGCTGGAACAACTGGATATTTATATGAAAAGAACAACTTTGATCCATCTCTTGCACCATATACAAAAATTAACTCCAAAATAGAGCTAAATGTAAAACCTAAAACTACAAAACTTTCAGGAGAAAGTATTTGTGACCTTAAGTTAGGCAAAGATTTCTTTGATATTTCACCATAAAATATAAAAATGATAAATATAACCTCATCAAAATTAAGAATTGCTGGGGTGCCTGAATGGTTCAGTTGGTTGAGTGTCTGACTGTTGATCCTAACTCCAGTCTTGATCTCAGGGTCATAGCTTCAGGCCCCATGTTGGGCTCCACACTGTATGTGGAGCATACTTAAAAAAATTATGAATTTCTACCCCTCAAAAAACACAACTAAGATAATGAAAAGACAACAGCCTAGAGAAAATTATTTACATATCACATATGCAAATAGGTACTTGTATCTGGAATATATACAGAACACTCGAAACTCAAAAGAAGGCAAACAAACCAATTTATAAATGGGTAACAGATTTGAGCAGATAGTTCACTAAAGATTAAGTAATGGCAAATAGGTGCATAAAAATGCTCAATATCATTAGTCATTAAGGAAATGCAGATTAAAACCACAATGAGATACCATGATACCCATTAGCATCTATAAAATTATAAGGAAGGACTATATACCAACATTATAATATTGAGTAAATGCTGAAAAATACTACATTAGTATACTGTTTGTAAGCATGTCAAAGTGTATATTAATATAAAAATATGACACTGGGAAGGAATAATGTTAATGTATTAGAAATTTCTTTCACACATAATTATTCACAATTAGGGGCACCTGGGTGGCTCAGTTGGTTAAGTGTCTGCCTTTGGCTTGGGTCATGGTCCCAGGATCCTGGGATTGAGCCCTG